AGGTCATTAGCTCTGGCCTTTGCGTCGATACGGATGTGGACACAGTACAACACGACTCCCGACGCAAATCAAGAAACAAACACTGACGCCGACCTCCATCGTACTGTTCGTGGCCACCTCGTAGCATGCACCACGAATCGATGAGTATCAGAACCAGCCAGGAATCAGCTACCACATTCCCAAAGAAACGGACAAACACAAACGTGACGCGAAATTGCCTTTCACGCTCGTGGCTGGAAACACGATCGAAACACGCGGGCCTTCCGACCATCAGCTTGATCAACTCAATCAACTGAAGCAGTCACCATGACAGTTCGTGACCGTTTACCCGTCACAACACCAGCCCACTCGCGAGCTCGTCTACCGATCCCACTCACTCACTATCCAATTGACACTGCCAGTGCCCCACCCAGCGAGGAAGTTATCGACTCGTCCGAACGACTGACTGACGACTGACCAAGCGACAGACGAACTCGATCATGAAGATCACCGCTCTCGCCATCACTGCTCTATCCACCGTAGCAAGCGTCGCATCCGCTGACGACTACCAGCCGGCGCTCCGAGCACTTGCCGCACAGGAGCCAACTGCATCCATTGCCGACACACTTGCTTCCGACCCGACCAAGCAACAATCCTCTACTCCTGTGGAGGCTGCTGCTGCAGCTGCCAAGGAGCATAATGTCGACGATGACAGCAAGAAGGCCAAGGAGTGGTGGGGACGACCGGGATGGGGACATCGCTGGGGAGGCTATGGATGGGGACGTCCCTGGGGTGGATACGGCGGTGGCTGGGGTGGATACGGTGGCGGCTGGGGATGGTAGACGTCACGCATCAACGACAACATCGACACGCTTGCAACCTGCCGCACTCTCACACGGACGGAACAGAACAAGGCGACTGCAATGTAGCCAATCAAATGGAAATCGGCATGCTCATTCAGCCTCGCTTTGTTCTCTAACGCTCTGAGTTCGTCTAATGTTGTTCTGGTCGCCACATTGGTTCAACACATCGCGTCAATGAAACACACGCTCGACTACCTATTGTGTTGAGTGCAACGGCTCGGTGCAAGCCTGGCGCTGCATACTTCCGAGATGTTGCAGCACGTCGTAGTCAGCCTCTCCCTCATTACGATAAGACAAACACGTTCTGATCAACTCGCCTCGATCAATTTGCCTCAATCAAATCTTCTGATTCACACGTTCCGACCCGCTTGTTCGTATTGACACGTTCGCTCTTACTGATATTGACTTGCTCCTACTGATATTGACTTGCTCCCTTCGATCGCTCCATTCCTGCTCAGTGATTGCCATACTTTCTCGTAGCTGTAGACCAAGTGCTATAAATTGCCGCACCCTTTGCAATATCCCAAAGCAGACGCTTGCATTTTACTTCATTTCCACCAAACATGCATTGAGAGTATCGATAGACGTCAACACGTCATCGATATCGGTCGCAAGGTTGAAGCTGGTGTTGAACACTACGACAAGGTTGAACACTACGACAAGGTCATCAGCTCTGGCCTTTGCGTCGACACGGATGTAGACACAGTACAACACGACTCCCGACGCAAATCAAGAAACAAACACTGACGCCGACCTCCATCGTACTGTTCGTGGCCACCTCGTAGCATGCACCACGAATCGATGAGTATCAGAACCAGCCAGGAATCAGCTACCACATTCCCAAAGAAACGGACAAACACAAACGTGACGCGAAATTGCCTTTCACGCTCGTGGCTGGAAACACGATCGAAACACGCGGGCCTTCCGACCATCAGCTTGATCAACTCAATCAACTGAAGCAGTCACCATGACAGTTCGTGACCATTTAACCGTCACAACACCAGCCCACTCGCGAGCTCGTCTACCGATCCCACTCACTCACTCACTATCCAATCGACACTGCCAGTGCCCCACCCAGCGAGGAAGTTATCGACTCGACCGACCGACCGACTGACGACTGACCAAGCGACAGACGAACTCGACCATGAAGATCACCGCTCTCGCCATCACTGCTCTATCCACCGTAGCAAGCGTCGCATCCGCTGACGACTACCAGCCGGCGCTCCGAGCACTTGCCGCACAGGAGCCAACTGCATCCATTGCCGACACACTTGCTTCCGACCCGACCAAGCAACAATCCTCTACTCCTGTGGAGGCTGCTGCTGCAGCTGCCAAGGAGCATAATGTCGACGATGACAGCAAGAAGGCCAAGGAGTGGTGAGGACGACCGGGATGGGGACATCGCTGGGGAGGCTATGGATGGGGACGTCCCTGGGGTGGATACGGCGGTGGCTGGGGTGGATACGGTGGCGGCTGGGGATGGTAGACGTCACACATCAACGACACCATCGACACGCTTGCAACCTGCCGCACTCTCACACGGACGGAACAGAACAAGGCGACTGCAATGTAGCCAATCAAATGGAAATCGGCATGCTCATTCAGCCTCGCTTTGTTCTATAACGCTCTGAGTTCGTCCAATGTTGTTCTGGTCGCCACATTGGTTCAACACATCGCGTCAATGAAACACACGCTCGACTACCTATTGTGTTGAGTGCAACGGCCCGGTCCAAGCTTGGCGCTGCATACTTCCGAGATGTTGCAGCACGTCGTAGTCAGCCTCTCCCTCATTACGATAAGACAAACACGTTCTGATCAACTCGCCTCGATCAATTTGCCTCGATCAAATCTTCTGATTCGCACGTTCCGACCCGCTTGTTCGTATTGACACGTTCGCTCTTACTGATATTGACTTGCTCCTACTGATATTGACTTGCTCCATTCGATCGCTCCATTCGTGCTCAGTGATTGCCATACTTTCTCGTAGCTGTAGACCAAGTGCTATAAATTGCCGTACCCTTTGCAATATCCCAAAGCAGACGCTTGCATTCCACTTCATTTCCACCAGACATGCATTGAGAGTATCGATAGACGTCAACACGTCATCCATATCGGTCGCCAGGTTGAAGCTGGTGTTGAACACTACGACAAGGTTGAACACTACGACAAGGTCATTAGCTCTGGCCTTTGCGTCGATACGGATGTGGACACAGTACAACACGACTCCCGACGCAAATCAAGAAACAAACACTGACGCCGACCTCCATCGTACTGTTCGTGGCCACCTCGTAGCATGCACCACGAATCGATGAGTATCAGAACCAGCCAGGAATCAGCTACCACATTCCCAAAGAAACGGACAAACACAAACGTGACGCGAAATTGCCTTTCACGCTCGTGGCTGGAAACACGATCGAAACACGCGGGCCTTCCGACCATCAGCTTGATCAACTCAATCAACTGAAGCAGTCACCATGACAGTTCGTGACCGTTTACCCGTCACAACACCAGCCCACTCGCGAGCTCGTCTACCGATCCCACTCACTCACTCACTATCCAATCGACACTGCCAGTGCCCCACCCAGCGAGGAAGTTATCGACTCGTCCGAACGACTGACTGACGACTGACCAAGCGACAGACGAACTCGACCATGAAGATCACCGCTCTCGCCATCACTGCTCTATCCACCGCAGCAAGCGTCGCATCCGCTGACGACTACCAGCCGGCGCTCCGAGCACTTGCCGCACAGGAGCCAACTGCATCCATTGCCGACACACTTGTTTCCAACCCGACCAAGCAACAATCCTCTACTCCTGTGGAGGCTGCTGCTGCAGATGCTAAGGAGCATAATGTCGACGATGACAGCAAGAAGGCCAAGGGGTGGTGGGGACGACCGGGATGGGGACATCGCTGGGGAGGCTATGGATGGGGACGTCCCTGGGGTGGATACGGCGGTGGCTGGGGTGGATTCGGTGGCGGCTGGGGATGGTAGACGTCACACATCAACGACACCATCGACACGCTTGCATCCTGCCACACTCTCACACGGACGGAACAGAACAAGGCGACTGCAATGTAGCCAATCAAATGGAAATCGGCATGCTCATTCAGCCTCGCTTTGTTCTCTAACGCTCTGAGTTCGTCTAATGTTGTTCTGGTCGCCACATTGGTTCAACACATCGCGTCAATGAAACACACGCTCGACTACCTATTGTGTTGAGTGCAACGGCTCGGTGCAAGCCTGGCGCTGCATACTTCCGAGATGTTGCAGCACGTCGTAGTCAGCCTCTCCCTCATTACGATAAGACAAACACGTTCTGATCAACTCGCCTCGATCAATTTGCCTCAATCAAATCTTCTGATTCACACGTTCCGACCCGCTTGTTCGTATTGACACGTTCGCTCTTACTGATATTGACTTGCTCCTACTGATATTGACTTGCTCCATTCGATCGCTCCATTCGTGCTCAGTGATTGCCATACTTTCTCGTAGCTGTAAACCAAGTGCTATAAATTGCCGTACCCTTTGCAATATCCCAAAGCAGACGCTTGCATTCCACTTCATTTCCACCAGACATGCATTGAGAGTATCGATAGACGTCAACACGTCATCCATATCGGTCGCCAGGTTGAAGCTGGTGTTGAACACTACGACAAGGTTGAACACTACGACAAGGTCATTAGCTCTGGCCTTTGCGTCGATACGGATGTGGACACAGTACAACACGACTCCCGACGCAAATCAAGAAACAAACACTGACGCCGACCTCCATCGTACTGTTCGTGGCCACCTCGTAGCATGCACCACGAATCGATGAGTATCAGAACCAGCCAGGAATCAGCTACCACATTCCCAAAGAAACGGACAAACACAAACGTGACGCGAAATTGCCTTTCACGCTCGTGGCTGGAAACACGATCGAAACACGCGGGCCTTCCGACCATCAGCTTGATCAACTCAATCAACTGAAGCAGTCACCATGACAGTTCGTGACCGTTTACCCGTCACAACACCAGCCCACTCGCGAGCTCGTCTACCGATCCCACTCACTCACTCACTATCCAATCGACACTGCCAGTGCCCCACCCAGCGAGGAAGTTATCGACTCGTCCGAACGACTGACTGACGACTGACCAAGCGACAGACGAACTCGACCATGAAGATCACCGCTCTCGCCATCACTGCTCTATCCACCGCAGCAAGCGTCGCATCCGCTGACGACTACCAGCCGGCGCTCCGAGCACTTGCCGCACAGGAGCCAACTGCATCCATTGCCGACACACTTGTTTCCAACCCGACCAAGCAACAATCCTCTACTCCTGTGGAGGCTGCTGCTGCAGATGCTAAGGAGCATAATGTCGACGATGACAGCAAGAAGGCCAAGGGGTGGTGGGGACGACCGGGATGGGGACATCGCTGGGGAGGCTATGGATGGGGACGTCCCTGGGGTGGATACGGCGGTGGCTGGGGTGGATTCGGTGGCGGCTGGGGATGGTAGACGTCACACATCAACGACACCATCGACACGCTTGCATCCTGCCACACTCTCACACGGACGGAACAGAACAAGGCGACTGCAATGTAGCCAATCAAATGGAAATCGGCATGCTCATTCAGCCTCGCTTTGTTCTCTAACGCTCTGAGTTCGTCTAATGTTGTTCTGGTCGCCACATTGGTTCAACACATCGCGTCAATGAAACACACGCTCGACTACCTATTGTGTTGAGTGCAACGGCTCGGTGCAAGCCTGGCGCTGCATACTTCCGAGATGTTGCAGCACGTCGTAGTCAGCCTCTCCCTCATTACGATAAGACAAACACGTTCTGATCAACTCGCCTCGATCAATTTGCCTCAATCAAATCTTCTGATTCACACGTTCCGACCCGCTTGTTCGTATTGACACGTTCGCTCTTACTGATATTGACTTGCTCCTACTGATATTGACTTGCTCCCTTCGATCGCTCCATTCCTGCTCAGTGATTGCCATACTTTCTCGTAGCTGTAAACCAAGTGCTATAAATTGCCGTACCCTTTGCAATATCCCAAAGCAGACGCTTGCATTTTACTTCATTTCCACCAAACATGCATTGAGAGTATCGATAGACGTCAACACGTCATCGATATCGGTCGCAAGGTTGAAGCTGGTGTTGAACACTACGACAAGGTTGAACACTACGACAAGGTCATCAGCTCTGGCCTTTGCGTCGATACGGATGTAGACACAGTACAACACGACTCCCGACGCAAACCAAGAAACAAACACTGACGCCGACCTCCATCGTACTGTTCGTGGCCACCTCGTAGCATGCACCACGAATCGATGAGTATCAGAACCAGCCAGGAATCAGCTACCACATTCCCAAAGAAACGGACAAACACAAACGTGACGCGAAATTGCCTTTCACGCTCGTGGCTGGAAACACGATCGAAACACGCGGGCCTTCCGACCATCAGCTTGATCAACTCAATCAACTGAAGCAGTCACCATGACAGTTCGTGACCGTTTACCCGTCACAACACCAGCCCACTCGCGAGCTCGTCTACCGATCCCACTCACTCACTCACTATCCAATTGACACTGCCAGTGCCCCACCCAGCGAGGAAGTTATCGACTCGACCGACCGACCGACTGACGACTGACCAAGCGACAGACGAACTCGACCATGAAGATCACCGCTCTCGCCATCACTGCTCTATCCACCGTAGCAAGCGTCGCATCCGCTGACGACTACCAGCCGGCGCTCCGAGCACTTGCCGCACAGGAGCCAACTGCATCCATTGCCGACACACTTGCTTCCGACCCGACCAAGCAACAATCCTCTACTCCTGTGGAGGCTGCTGCTGCAGCTGCCAAGGAGCATAATGTCGACGATGACAGCAAGAAGGCCAAGGAGTGGTGAGGACGACCGGGATGGGGACATCGCTGGGGAGGCTATGGATGGGGACGTCCCTGGGGTGGATACGGCGGTGGCTGGGGTGGATTCGGTGGCGGCTGGGGATGGTAGACGTCACACATCAACGACACCATCGACACGCTTGCATCCTGCCACACTCTCACACGGACGGAACAGAACAAGGCGACTGCAATGTAGCCAATCAAATGGAAATCGGCATGCTCATTCAGCCTCGCTTTGTTCTATAACGCTCTGAGTTCGTCTAATGTTGTTCTGGTCGCCACATTGGTTCAACACATCGCGTCAATGAAACACACGCTCGACTACCTATTGTGTTGGGTGCAACGGCCCGGTCCAAGCTTGGCGCTGCATACTTCCGAGATGTTGCAGCACGTCGTAGTCAGCCTCTCCCTCATTACGATAAGACAAACACGTTCTGATCAACTCGCCTCGATCAATTTGCCTCGATCAAATCTTCTGATTCACACGTTCCGACCCGCTTGTTCGTATTGACACGTTCGCTCTTACTGATATTGACTTGCTCCTACTGATATTGACTTGCTCCCTTCGATCGCTCCATTCCTGCTCAGTGATTGCCATACTTTCTCGTAGCTGTAGACCAAGTGCTATAAATTGCCGCACCCTTTGCAATATCCCAAAGCAGACGCTTGCATTCCACTTCATTTCCACCAAACATGCATTGAGAGTATCGATAGACGTCAACACGTCATCGATATCGGTCGCAAGGTTGAAGCTGGTGTTGAACACTACGACAAGGTTGAACACTACGACAAGGTCATCAGCTCTGGCCTTTGCGTCGATACGGATGTAGACACAGTACAACACGACTCCCGACGCAAACCAAGAAACAAACACTGACGCCGACCTCCATCGTACTGTTCGTGGCCACCTCGTAGCATGCACCACGAATCGATGAGTATCAGAACCAGCCAGGAATCAGCTACCACATTCCCAAGAAACGGACAAACACAAACGTGACGCGAAATTGCCTTTCACGCTCGTGGCTGGAAACACGATCGAAACACGCGGGCCTTCCGACCATCAGCTTGATCAACTCAATCAACTGAAGCAGTCACCATGACAGTTCGTGACCGTTTACCCGTCACAACACCAGCCCACTCGCGAGCTCGTCTACCGATCCCACTCACTCACTCACTATCCAATCGACACTGCCAGTGCCCCACCCAGCGAGGAAGTTATCGACTCGACCGACCGACCGACTGACGACTGACCAAGCGACAGACGAACTCGACCATGAAGATCACCGCTCTCGCCACACTGCTCTATCCACCATAGCAAGCGTCGCATCCGCTGACGACTACCAGCCGGCGCTCCGAGCACTTGCCGCACAGGAGCCAACCGCATCCATTGCTGATACACTTGCTTCCGACCTTACCAAGCAACAATCCTCTACTCCTGTGGAGGCTGCTGCTGCAGCTGCCAAGGAGCATAATGTCGACGATGACAGCAAGAAGGCCAAGGAGTGGTGAGGACGACCGGGATGGGGACATCGATGGGGAGGCTATGGATGGGGACGTCCCTGGGGTGGATACGGCGGTGGCTGGGGTGGATACGGTGGCGGCTGGGGATGGTAGACGTCACACATCAACGACACCATTGACACGCTTGCAACCTGCCGCACTCTCACACGGACTGAACAGAACAAGGCGACTGCAATGTAGCCAATCAAATGGAAATTGGCATGCTCATTCAGCCTCGCTTTGTTCTATAACGCTCTGAGTTCGTCTAATGTTGTTCTGGTCGCCACATTGGTTCAACACATCGCGTCAATGAAACACACGCTCGACTACCTATTGTGTTGAGTGCAACGGCCCGGTCCAAGCTTGGCGCTGCATACTTCCGAGATGTTGCAGCACGTCGTAGTCAGCCTCCCCCTCATTACGATAAGACAAACACGTTCTGATCAACTCGCCTCGATCAATTTGCCTCGATCAAATCTTCTGATTCACACGTTCCGACCCGCTTGTTCGTATTGACACGTTCGCTCTTACTGATATTGACTTGCTCCTACTGATATTGACTTGCTCCATTCGATCGCTCCATTCCTGCTCAGTGATTGCCATACTTTCTCGTAGCTGTAAACCAAGCGCTATAAATTGCTGTACCCTTTGCAATATTCCAAACGCTTCCATTCCACTTCATTTCCACCAAACATGCATTGAGAGTATCGATAGACGTCAACACGTCATCGATATCGGTCGCAAGGTTGAAGCTGGTGTTGAACACTACGACAAGGTTGAACACTACGACAAGGTCATCAGCTCTGGCCTTTGCGTCGATACGGATGTAGACACAGCACAACACGACTCCCGACGCAAACCAAGAAACAAACACTGACGCCGACCTCCATCGTACTGTTCGTGGCCACCTCGTAGCATGCACCACGAATCGATGAGTCTCGGAACCAGCCAGGAATCAGCTACCACATTCCCAAAGAAACGGACAAACAAAAACGTGACGCGAAATTGCCTTTCACGCTCGTGACTGGAAACGCGATCGAGACGCGCCGACTTTTCAACCATCTACTTGATTTGCAATCAATCAACTCAATCAATTGAAGCAGTCGCCATGACGCTACGTGACGAGTCACTCGTCGCAACACCAGCCCACTCGCTAGCTCGTACATCGATCACACTCACAAACCAACTGGCACTACCACACCAACACCTAGCGAGCAAGTACTCGACCAACCGACCAAATCGACCATGATGTGCACTGCTCTCGCCGTCACCGCGCTAGTTGCTGTAGCAAGCGTCGCCTCAGCTACTGACTACCAGCCGGCGCTCCGGGCCCTTGCTGCATCGGAACCAGCTACACCCAGCACTGACACGATGGCAGCGGGTCCTACCGAGCGACATTCGCATCCTGTTGAGGCTGCTGCTGATGTAGCTGCGGAAAACGAGCCTACTGCCGTCATTGGTGCGGAAGGCAAGAAGTCCAAGGAGTGGTGGGGAGGCTTGGGATGGGGACGTCCCTGGGGTGGCTTCGGGAGATGGGGTGGCTACGGTGGATGGGCAGGCTACGGTGGCGGATGGGGGTGGTAGACCTCACACATGCTGGACATCGCGCCGACTGACATGTTGCAGCGCGTGCAGACGGGCTCACGAACGAGACGACACGGAAGCCGAGCAAGAAGAAAAATCTGCGTGCACTGCCGGACTCGCTCTTGTTTGTGAGGCTGTTTGTCGCTACTTTTCGTCACCACTTGGATCAGCATGTCAACCTGTCGACGGAAGAGTCGACCATCTGTACTGTCGGTGCTGTCGGGCAGTTGGAGCTCGCCAACATATATACTGTCGAGGCTTTGCAGACAGTTGTCAGCCAGCCACCTCGCGAAGGTCAACACGTTCTTCCAGCAGCACGTTCTTCCAGCAGCACGTTCTTCCAGCAGCACGTTCACATCAGATCATCTTGTCACGACCAATGTCTTTTTTGTATCTGCATGTTCACATCGACACGAACATGTCGACTCGTTCAGACGGACACGTTTTCTCTTAGCGCGGTTAGCATGCTCCGTCCAGTCTCTCCTTCTATGTCATCGATTGCCGGAAAGTGTCAATGTCCATCTCAAACAAACGCACTGGTATTCGTACCACTTGCACATACTGTCATCGCAAGGGCCCTCCTTGCGTTCATTGTCAAGCCACCAAACATAGACGACGTCCACACACAACTCAGCAGCCACCTGGTTTGGTCACCACGTCGACGTTGATGTCGACGGACACAACGCAGTCATCGACGTCGGTCACCAACATGGATCACCAGCCAGAGATACACATACGTTAATGGGGTTACACGTAGTTATTGAACCGGTTGTATTGTGTGTCCACACTAAGTAAAGATTGGTGGGTCTGAGTGGTACAGTCTTGGTACCACGTACTTTCGGTAATACCGTACCTTATCGGGTAGGGATGAGGGATAATTGAAGTCCTACGACAGAAGTCTTATGACTTCTATCCTAGGATCATAATGTAAACGTCTTATGATTTCTGTCATAGGATCGCAATGTAGAAGTCAATCAGACAAGGCTTTGGAGCTTTATTACCGTAGTTCAAGAATTAATAAAGTTCAGTTCCCCTTTTGAATCGTTGAAAACAAGTGGCGAGTCAAGGCGTAGTGTGTCGTAAGGGTGTTAGCCTTGTAACGGCGCTTACTCTTGTTTAACGAGTAGTCTCTAGTTAGTGTGTGATTCTATGAATCGTAACCCCTTTGGAACTGGGATTGTTAAGCTTGTACGGTTGAGCGACTGTACGTCGTTGTTAGTTTGTATAACAAAGAGACTATTTGAGTCGAAGACTTCCTCTGTTAAGGAGCGCTAAGTATCTCCGCTACACTTTGTAGCACTTGTAGTCAATCTACACCTGAGTCTTCACGGACTGAAATCTCTGCGAGGATGGAAACGGCCATGAACCTCTCTGAGGCCCAGCAGGTCACGCTTGAGAAGCTCAAGGCGTTGATCGAGCACGAACAAGTGGCTATTATAGTGTCGCAAGGTCTGGACGCACTTCGTGCACGTCTCGAGGCCTTCTCGAACTTTGAGTCCACGTTGATCGGACAGGTCCATGACCATTTGGCATCTGCCATGCCCACTCGGTATGTCCCAACGGACACTGAGTCGAGAACTCGTCCTTTAGTCTTAAGTGTCAAGACTTTTGAGGGGAAAAGGGGGAAAATCTTTTTTTTGTGGGTTCGGGAGATGGAGGTTACCATCAGCTCGGCCTTGCTGCGGTCAGAGCAGCAAAAGGTGGGCCTGGCCTTATCGAAGTTAGGTGGGCGATCCAGGGAGTGGGCCGTCACTTCTGGTACCTCGACAGGCGAGGCTTTTCCCATCCGGAACATGCTGAAACAGCAGCTATCTTGAGTGTTTGCACCTCCTAATCAGGGCATATCCCGTGCGATCACGAGTCCTGTCAACCCGCCAGAAAAAAGGACTTATTCGATTATGTCCAGGAGTTTTGAAGTCT